TAGTTAATTCTATGGCTTTTGTGGGGGCAGGGAAAGAAAGAGGGCTTAAAAAAATAGCGATAGAAGTATGGGAGGAACAGGGCGATTGTCACAGCTCTTTCAAGCTCAGGAAACATTGCTGAATTTAACTGCTGCCATTAAGGTCCTTGTTTAATGCTGAAACATTGTACAGCACTTTCCCAACCACATACAGGCCCCACCACCAAACACAACAGGTGACAATATACAGTGAGCAAACACTGAATTCCATTTTTAAATTGTTTTGGTTAAATGCTTTAGTGGTGGACAGGCAAGGGGACCAAGGATGCAGCTAAGATTTTTATGACAGTAATTTAAAATGGTATTTAAAAATTAAGCAGAGTGGGCCCTTTCCCCACAAAAGGAGATGAAATCAGTAGATTGAAGGAAAATGTCCAATTTTAGATTCTGTTTGGTGCTTAACACTACTGGATTTATAGAAGTTACAGACATGACAAGAAACTAGGTTGGTTCTGGGGAGCAGATAGCATAAGGCCAATGTAAGGAAAGAATACAAGGAAAATTAAGGCTTTCATGAGGATATAGGTTTGATCTGCAGGCCTTGCTACCTGAACCTTAACTATCCTAAGGACAATGATATATCCCTGCCTTAACCCCAGAGGGAAACTAAACAATATAACTCAGCAGCCACCAACATAGCATTAAGATCTCAACTGGCTGAAAGCCACAATGGCCCTATGCCACTTGTGGGTACAACTGGACTTGCAAGCAAAGACCCCAGCAAAAAACCTTGCTTGCTCCAGACATTAGTGGATTGGAAAGTCCCTTCCTCTATTTCTCACTTATGCAGCACAAACCAAACAAAAGCAGGTTTCTTGAAAGGGGGAAAAAACAGATGCAAGCCTAAATCAGAGTGAATTTTCTGACCACTAAATCTGTACGCAACACAATTGGAAACAGTGCTGTTCAAGAATAAAATAATCAGGTCTTCAAAAGAAATATGCATCAGAATAACCAAAAAAAGCAAACTAATCTTGCTGTAGCTAATGGACAATCTGAATAACTGATATTGTGCTGTTTTTGAGGAGCTTCTGTTACCCTTGTAAGATACCTGATGTTGCTCAAGGGGAACCTGACCCAGTACCTTTCTTTGGGTAACACCCATCAACAGTGCAGTAACAAGGGCCCAGTTACAGAGATATAATGCAGATGCTTGCTGTGGGCTTTAATCTAGCTTTTCATTGTTGTGGTGACCTCAAAGAAGAAAGCACTTTGTACCTAGGACAGACTCCAGCCGCTTTGGAAAACGTGTGTAGCAAAGCATTACATGTTGTTTGAACTAGCATCGTTATTGGCCTAAGACTGCATGAACATCCGAGGCCCCTGTGTGCTCCAGTTCTGGCAAGGACATTGTGATTAAGAGTAGTGCATATTTATAACTTCTCCAGAAAAGTAATTCAATACACTATCCCCTTTCAATAGGCATCTTAAAACAGAAATTAAAAAATTAAAAAATTGAGAGACAATCACACGGCATGCACTGC